ATAGTTATGCTAATGTATTATCTATAGAATGAATACAAAAACCCGAGAAGAAGGAGCGCAAGCACGATAAAAATGAATACATAGTTCTGACGCGCATGCGCGTCAGAATGTCCGATGCGGTGCAAAATTCTGACGCGCATGCGCGTCAGCCTGTCGTCAACGTGTTAATAACATGGCGCCATCACGATGTAGATTAAAACCATTCCGTAGCGGAACAGAAGAGGCCCTGAGACAACTTCTCGTTTACGAAGTTATCCTCGTTAACTATGTTTGAAATATATTCCCTACGTCCCACAAAAAAAAAGTTTGGCAAGGGAAAGTTTGAGAAGCTTTCCGCATAGTCTTCTTGCTCGATCGCAATTGCCCCTCGCGGAAATTTCTCCTGAGATTTTAAACGCTTCTGGCTCTCGGTCTGTCAAGTCCATTGCCCCTGTGTTTCTCTGTTCTACAGAGCAGAAATAATTTCTTAAATTTTCTAAAAAATCATAGCGTACTGGAAACAGCAACTAAAAAGAAAAGAGTACTTGGTTCCTGGCGCTCAACAGTCCAATTCTAAATGGGCCATCCATTCGAATTGGTTCCGAAATTAGTGGTGTGGGCATATTTGTCGTATACAGTGGGTTATGGAAGTCAGACAATCTATAGAAGGATGTACTTCCACACTCACAGACGAATTTGGGGTAATTAAACTATTCCGAAAGGATAGAAGATTCGGTCTGCCTGAGTGGATTTAAATTCAAAACTCGACCCCTGCGTCTGACCGTAATAACTTCGTATAGCATACACCACCAAGTTGGCTCTTATATACAGTGGCGCTCAAAAGTCTTCGGTGGAACTGTGAGCAGCAAGTCAGACTTCTTGAATGGCCAAGCCAATCCCCCGATCTAAATCCCATAGAGCACATGTGGGAAGAGCTCAAAAGACGTTGTTCCGGCAAATATAGCAAAAACAAAGAAGAAAAGTTCGCTGAACTAGTGAAAGAGTGGTACGCCATGCCAATGTCTACCATCCAAAAAATTATCGGTTCGATGCCTTCGCGCTGCGCCGCTGCCATCAGTAGTCGAGGTTTTCCTACAAAATATTGATGCTTGTAGTATATTGCATTTTGTTATCTCGAATAAAATGGTTTTTCCTAAGCCTATGCTATCCGTGTTCCGCACTGATCTTGAGTTTGATCTCACTAATGTACCGTGAACTAAAGCGCATTGCGGCCAAATAGCCGCAATTATTCACAATATGTCATTGATCAACATACTGCAGTTTCGGTGGATTTCATGCAGTAGGAAAAAAGTTACGCTTGAAAGAGCATTCCACCGAAGACTTTTGAGCGCCACTGTATATCACAAGCGAGGAAAATTTTGCCTATGTCGGACTTCGGCTCTTTTTTCTTCGCAGAGATTGCTGTCGTTGACGGGAGTTCCTCAGCAGAGTATTCCCTAAGTGTTCCTCTATTAGTGTACGCAGGCTCTCCTTCACTGCCCTCACCGTCTTCAGAATATGACGTCATCTTCCGTCCGTCGTCAAACTCAGGGGAAACTGCGCAAATGCTCCAGCTTGAAGCTCTTACATGATTTCTTGCTCGGTTCACTGTTGAATAGTTTCTAGAGATTTTCGGGCCTAACGCCGAACGTCTCCTCGCAGTCCGGCTTTTCAGAAAACGTCTTTATGGTGCACGATCCGGTAAGGTCCGTCGAGCTCGACCAGTCGTCATGTTTCTGGGGCTGATGTCGTCTACGTAGAGAGCCTCCATGAACTTTTTTTATAAAATGGAACGTGCTTTCCAATTTTAAGTGGGGATGCATTGGGGTTTGAATAAGCAAAAGTGTGATAAATCTGTTTGATATGGTAGGACAAATTCTTTTTATTCCCTCCCCACTATACGTACATATATTATCCCATTATTTCCCATCACCATACGTCGTTATCAATGAAAGATTAAAGTTCATGCTATAAACGAAGGCGGTTCCATTTTGCTTAACCAGCCATTCTGCGATCAACTTCGATATAGGAAATTTCAAAAATTTCAAAAAAAAAAAAGAACCGTGAGAACAAAGACTCACAATCTCAACCCATTCGAGTTGCGCCCGAGCAGTCAGCTGGTGGTCGTTCACTTTGAACGCTCTTTCAGCCTTAACAGTGCATTATTTTCTTCAGTAAAAAAAGCGAAGGAGTTCACGAATGATTCTATGTAAGTTCAGATAAAAGAGAACCTGCGAACAGCAGACTGACGGTCTCTTGTTTTTGCAGTCTCCAACGAATGGCATGTCACGCCAGTCACTAAGAAAGACCTTTAGCATCTCTTTGATAGATTCTTGATCTTTTCTCTTTTTTGGAATTTCAGTTGGTTCTTCAGACAATACAACAGAAAGGCAAGTGTAACCCTCACCTGTAGAAGAGGGTCGTGTCATTTTTGATTACGTACGACCGCAGTTTTTCCGGGATCAGGTCGTACACTGGAAAACGCCTAAAAACAATCACTACAGCGAAATCTTAGCTTCTTTGCAGCAACACCCTGCAACCGGCTGCTTTGATAGACTGTTTTGTAACCGATGTAATAAAATATTGCAACGTTCAAGCTTTGTAAACCGCAGGCAGTCGTGAACGCATCCACTCAAACTAAAAAAAAAGAGCAGTCGAATTCACCGGCGACTTCATTTATTATCGCACATTCTGCTGTCCTTCATGTGTATGTTCAAGTGTTTGATCCATGGTCCTAAGAGCTTCGTTTGAGTAGAAGTGGATTCACCAAAAGGGTAATGGGCTGGGAGTTGTTAGGGGAAAATGCAGTGATTCGATTATTGCCCGGCACTCAAACTTGATGAAAAGACCAAGGAAATTGCAGAGTTCAATGGCACTATTCTGGGCTAAGCTTGAATGCATGGCGTATCCTGAAAGGATCGATAATTTACATCCCATACTACAACCAAATTGATAAGTTCTTTGTTAGCTAATGTGCGAGACTCAAAGTTTGGCGGACATTCGGACCGATTACGTTGGTGCGGCCTTGACCGACGCCCCACCCAACTCACGTGTATCCCACCAAACACCCGAGTCCCCCTCAAAAGGATCGAGGTCCCGTGAATGAACGCTCCACTCACATAATTGTGCTAGCCTCCAAACTGCCGATGTGATGTCGTAGAGCATTACAGAGCACCGAATCGAGCATCGGTGTCATCAGCGAGGCGATTGCTGATGCCCCCTGAAAAAGAAGTTACTGTAAACGACTACTGGACGATCCGGTTCATGTGGTAACTAGTAACATCAACATTGGACACACTCTGTCGGCTATCCAGTGACCTGGAACCGAGGCAGCCAGCTCAGATCCGACCAGAAGGCAGTCGCCAAGTGAAAATGTCGTTTCATCAGCATCGAGCCGGATCTCAGCACGATGCAGCTGAACTATGATCATCAAGTCCAGTCCATTCACAATTTGACAATTCAAGTATCTCACCTGCAGACCCACATCGAGTACCTGTTCTCCCAAACCAAATGGCCAGAAGACTTCGGACAGGTTGCCGTGGGAGAGCAACGAAAACCTAAGAGCTTCCGTTCAAGCCTGATCGTATAAGGGCCACCGAGCTATTGAAAAGGACCTACCTGTCGACTACCACGTGAAGGGAGTCGTCATGGAAAACCACAGACAGGTTTCTGTAGTTCACTCGGTTGAGGATATCCAGATGAGCCAAAGAACCCAACGACGGTGATTCTCGGGTTTTCAGAGTTATCTGGAATCAGCTGCACTGTTAGGGAATGATAATGCTTATAACTTTATAACTTGAGGTCAAACCCAGTGAAATTATAGGGAATATTTTTATATAAGAATATCAGGACGAAATATGAAAATGAAGTGAAAATTATAGGGGATATTTTTATATAGGATACCAAATTGCAGACAAATTTTCCTTAACTTTATGATAAATATCATAGTGATTTTCCAATCAGTTGATAAGCAAACTTAGTAGAGCGCTGTTCCGTGGGAAAGCTCAGATCTGTTTATAATAAAACCTTTTAACTTTTCAACTGAATATTTGAATGAAAGGGGTTTACCTGAATCGGATTAAATTTGGAGGGTACTTTAAAGCGAGAGATTGCGATAGGATTCTGTTGTGCTCATAGTGGAAGTGAAGATGCTGAATAATGCCCTAGTAGCGAAAAAAGCAAAGAAATCCGTCAAAAACGCGCAAAATGGGACCACTTCCTCTGCCCGTTGACCTCCGATAATGGACGAGTTGGCAACCAACTAAGAGGTCGTCGGCACTCGTTAAACCATAGCTGCCATCATACCACCAGAGATCATACCTTGATTGATATAGCATTCCATGAGAAAAAAATTGGATACGCGCTCGAAGTGGCATACCTTATCAGAATGATAATCGAACAGCGATCTGCTGAGGGGCGGAGCACAGGCGGAGGCGGAGCTCAGAAAGGATTGGCAGCCCCAGGGCGCTGCAACGAGCGCACCTTTAGTCACAAAAAGGCCACATCTCGATTCCTTTGGGCTCTAGCTACTGCTTGAAGTGCTGCTCGTTCTTCCATGCTGCACAGAAATTTTATCGTAATTTCTCGCTTTAAGGGTCGGACCATTTGACGAAAATAGTTTTCGTTAGAATAATTCAAGTTTCACCGCTCCAAAGGCGTCCACCACTTAAACTCCTTGCAAAAACAGTAGAACTGTACTCCATTAAAAACACGCCCAAAATCAGGTCGTGATTTTTACACCGGCAAGAACTGAAATCCTCCAAGGATGCCAAAAAGATCGATCACCCACAGTTTTCCATCAATCATCCTTCATTTGTCGTTGTAGTTCCTACGAAGGAACTCTTCGTCACTGAACGTGTTTTATACGTAATTTATCTACCGCCGGAGATCTTGGTTGGCTGCTGCGATTATTGATTCGATGGTCGAAGAACAGGTTTAGACGAAGAGGTCGGAGTCAAGCATGGCTAGCCGTTGGGGTTTTCTTGACGGAAAACATAGAAATCGAATCAGCAAAGAAAACTGTGAATGAAGTTTGAAGCGAATCAAATTGGCGTGACAAAATACCGCCTAAATGGCAGCAAAAAAAGGGAATGTCAGGAACAAATTTGTTGTGAGACCAGTTTACTGGCAAGTAAAAAGTCATCTCCACACCTCAGCGACTCGTGGTTCCTGTAGGATTTTTGCAGCGACATGTCGAACAAGCTGTGAAACAGCGGCATCACCGAACGTCGCTCCTAACTGTGAAGCGTAGACATGACCCGAGAGCCAGGCCAGGACGGCTGCCACCAGCATAATCCGGAATATCCTGGTCGTCGTTATTACCGCATCAGTTAACTAGGAAGGTCCCGAAGGTGACAGCAGAGATCACGAATAGCCGAGAAGGCTTAGCTGTGACCAGAATGGAACGTGTAGCAGTGAATAACCTGTAATCGGAAGGTGAGAGAGCGACTGGTGGCCGTTGATGAATGCCGGCCGCGCCGTCTTCCCAAACCGGGACAGTCGAGGGGCGGGCAACATCGTGTTCGCACTCTGCGAAATGCGTCGTCCGCTGATCGCGCTCGAACTCGCAAGCCTTTTCCAGCTAGTGCTTCTCGTCACCCATCAGGATTTTCATCCACTCCTTGAAGCACCGCTGAATTTGCCCGGAGTGCGACTACGCCTATTTCCTTCTGGTGTTGCCTATCTCTCTCAGGTAATCTATGGTCAAATTACGGTAGTTTCCTGAGTAAGACGATCGGTCATGACTTGACTTCAACAATATTCAAGGGGGAAACCTATCCAAGAAGTCATGCATTTATTCAAACATTGGCGCTCTCTTGTAGCGGAACGTCTTTTTCACAGTACCCCTATAACACCATTTCAAAGCTTGGCTTTGGACATAAGGAACAATCCGGCACGAAGACATTCCTTTTGCTGTTTTGGTGCGTGGCGCATTCCGAATAGGCTCGCAATTCGTCGTCCTTACTGATAGTTTTGTTAACTCTTAAATGTTCCCTAACTCTTAAATTTCACTCGCTAGGTGTCCTTCAGATCCAATTCTTATTGCGCTGAATTGAGGCCAAGAATCCCATAATTGAGCCGTAGTTTGACTTCCCCAAATGGACTTTTTCACTCGAAACACTGCGTGAAACGTGAGGCTTCAGATCGCCAACAATATCCTCGCCGAACAGCTGCCTCGCATCAACATTCCAGATGTGGAACATCGTCTTCCTGGTGATCAAGGAGGCAATCTTCATATCACGGATCAAGATCTCAAGGTAAGTAAGAGTGTGACCGATTCGCTCTGACTCATTCATCAGCAGCTATCGATCTTTTTACGGAACATTTCCTAAATACATCTGAAAACACACGAAAGGGAAGCAAGCGTTTCCTTCGCTAGGAGACCGCTTTATTTCTAACGATAAGTACCTCGAAATTTGTCGTGATACCTTAATGTGGTGGTCATTTATGGCTTAAGCCACATACGCACATGCTTCTTCAATCTGGTTCTTTCGTCAACATCGACATTTCATATCCCATAGAGATCGCTTTGCAATAACAGCGCCGGCAAGAGATCACTGTCCAGAACTAATGTTTTCTCGTTACCAAATCATTTGTTTCATAACTTCATAGTTAACCCTGTACAGAGGTTATAACTGAACTACTGCCTCGCTTACGTGGACTGGGAGCGGTAGCTTACGAAGCGAAGTGAGGGGCATTTTCAAAGAGTTTCGAAACTGCGCGATGGTTTTTTGGAAGTCTCTGCATTTGAAGCAGATTGGCGCATCATCATGCCCGTTCCATGGCAGACTGTACATAGAACCAGTCTAAAACGTGACCCCATTTGGATTTAATGTCACCTGCACAGCAGGAGTGACTTTAGTGGTATACGGGTAGGCTAGCATTCAAAGGGTCTCGAGTCTGGAAATATTGACCAGGAGGGAAGTTCCACTTAAGCGTTCCAAAGACCTCTTGACGTAATGTCTCTCAGTGATTTCTATACAACAATAATTCCTGTCGCCAACCTGTGATGGAAAAATTAAAACAGGCTAAGGCGTTCGCCGAATTCGTCGTTGTGATGCGCCACATATTCACTTCCATTCAGAATCGCAGGGTATTTGAATCCGATATAACCTGTTCAGTGACATAGCGAATCGACCGTTAGTTTTTTACCCCCGCCCCAGAAGTCACTGCTCCATTTCCACACCAACTTGATTGGCAAGTTCGGGTGTCCTACGCGCACTGGCTCAGTTTTGATCCCTGGCCTAGGCCGTGGTAAACTGTGCCCTTACTGTTCCCCACCACTAATCCAAAAACTAAACCCATTGATTTCCTCCAGTTTTATGTTAAGTGTAAAACATTCTTTTGCTGTCAAGAAATCGAATGCTCGACTAAGTTTGCTGTTGAGGATCTCACACCTTTGAAAGTCAACAACCCAGCAGAGCGACATCGTGCAATATCTATAATGGATATGATAATCGGTTTGCTCAATCAGAAATATGCGACTTCGAATCGCGCGCAAAAGGCGCTGGAGAGTAAGCAAATCTGAACAAATGTGAGCAATGACGAGATCCCCCCGCACACCACGTGCCACCGCAACCGCATAAGCGGCTGATCAAAAGGCTCTGATTAGTGAGCTATGGAGCAGGCAAGTTCATAAAATGCGTCGACACACCTCTTTTTCATCTCTGAGGAACAATAGGTTGCATCCAGTTAAGCTTCATCGCCAGTCTACGTTGCTTTCTCTTCGGTATCTCAAACGCAACTCGGTATCCAACACACATATCACACTGCTAAATCTAACACCGATTCGGCGTGTAGCTTCAAAAGTAATTGCGGCGCTTCAATTCCATGAGGATGAGCCGCATTAATCTTCTTACCCCATCAATGACCCTTGCAGGATATTAAGCTCGTGAAAATATAAGAAAATAACTTCCCTGAAACCATAGCTTGCAGTTTCTTGGGACAATGACTAGTACATCAGATTCGCCGTGCCGAAATTCAAGATGTCTCAACGTCCGCTCCGAATCGAATCATGTGGATCATGAAGAATCTCGATCTCGGGTACGTGACTGTTTCGATATCTACAAAAAACAATATGAGAATCACATTTCAGCTTCATCGGAGATCTGAGCGGAGCCGTCAACATCGTGGTCCCTTTTAATCTGACAGGTCAAGCTGAAGTTCAAGCCGAGACTTAAGTGTTAGCTGGACAAGCGGCCGTACTCCATTACTGTGCTTCGTCATGTAGTCGCCCTATTGCTCCAAAATTCAGATAGAACGAGCTCCTAATGGCTCCGCACACATCAGCACCATCTCCTGCCACTCAACAATTCGTGCCGTCGAAGTCATTAACCATAACGGAGGGCTGTTTGGATTGGCTGTAACTGTTTTCAAAGTAATGATTCCATATAATTTGATAGGATTTTGTGCCGGGCCGTCAATGAATGGGAGGAATCTCAGAATACAACTCTGATTGCTTTAAGTCGCGTAGAAATAACCCCTTAGGATTTGTGGCGTAAGACGCAGGCAGCGGAATCAGAGATAAAAAGGAAGCGATCGCGTACAAAAGCGATCCGCCACTAGTTTAGTTGGTGATTTGGACGAGCTGCGTTGCCAGCAGCGGCACAACTGGGCAACTTGACTGGAGCATGATTTGGCATGGTGCCACCAAACGCGTTGCGATGAACTCGTTCATACATCCGTAACTAGCTGCTTACCCATTCCATAGTGAAAATCAACGGCCACACAGGTGTGGTTCCGTTCCCGTGCCGAAATCCTCCGCTTTCGCCAATCGTCCATCAATTGGATATCCCAAAGTCCCCTCCAAACCTCTATAGAACATATCGCAACCACTATCCATCGTGATCGCTCTTGACGTTCACGCACATGCCCTTCCAGTCCTTATAATAGTCATATATTTGTTCACAATGCTGTAAAGAAAGCTATTCTACAAAGTTCGCACAATGTCCGCCGATGCGCAAGGAATCAGCTGAAAAAGTCCGTAATATCTCGACGATGATTTAAAAAAATGAAAAAACCAAAGGTGAGCCATTAGCATGAGGTAGGGCTGGACTAGATTTCTCGACGGTCAAGAAGAAATTGGCAGTTTTTAGCTGGCCGAAGTGCAAACTCGAAGTCCGCTAAGCGAAGCGATTGAGACTAATGCTATACGAGCAACGAAACTCACTTCGGCCGTCGGAGGGGCAAACATTGATAATCGGCTGGGAAGCAGTAATTTCCAACATACCGAACCGACATTGAGTTTACCATTAAAGCCATTGATTCATTTTCTCATTTATTCAAATGCAGATTACCTTACTTTCTCAAAGCTCCAATTCCCTGCCTTCCTCTCATATCTGCTTACCCTCCGCTCATTCAGAGCATATCTCAAGATCTAACCATCGCTTCAAGGTCGAGATGACAAGGACCGGCGACAGAGGTGTGATGGCGAAACAAAGTGACCGTCATCAGCGCTCAGAGAAGATCCTTTCTGTGGCACGAATATGGTGGATCTCGCGTGTGCAGGAGAAATCTCGTACAAAGGCCTGGGTGGGACGCCATTTGGACCACCACCGATCGCATGGCTTCGCTCCCAATCAGATACTCACATGTTGATGCTGCAGATCTCCGACTATCTGCCTAATTCCCTCTTCTACCACGCTCACAAGTATGTTTGTTCAATAATGGATGCTTTCGAACCAACAGGATCAAAGTTTTGGTAGGTGTAAACCACCATGCGTTTTTGGCGCTTTTTTTACGCTAGTTTGATTCTTTCGGATAAAGGATAAAAATAAAGCATTTGCCGTTGATCAATCCCTTTTTGGGATGCGGCACGCATTCTACTTCCATTTGTACATTCGTAGTGGTTTGAATGCGATGTGGCCTATACAATGACTTGCGGGGGCCAGCCGATGTACAAGTCAGTGTTTTTATCCTCCCAGACAAGTCTGGTACCAATTAACCGACCCCGGAGGGATGGAAGGCTTGGTTGGCCCGGGCGACTCACGACCCAGGATTTGATCCCCGGACCGCTCGCGTGGTAAGCGTGCCACTTGCCACTACACCACTTCCGCCCTTGTTAAAGGAGAATTCACGATTAGAATGAAGGTCGAAGAAGGAGTAATTCACCTAGTTGAGGACCCGCGGACCTCCTGAGGGTGCGGACTGACGCGCAATTGGCACCGAAAGATTTGACCTCGGCGACCTAGCATGCTCATTCTTGGCGCGGTTGGCGGGGTACGCCCACCGACTATCTAATCACTCGCCGCAGGTCTATACGTGGCGAGTGATTAGAGAGCGTAGTGTTGAAGAGGGCACAGCGATGAGAGTCGCATCAATGCGCAAATCAACGGGCAAGGAATTTCCCATGGTTTTCCTTCTTTCGTGTACCACTCACCATCCCTAGGTTAATTTGAAATGGGTTGCTTTTTCATCGTGAATTCGTCCTTTAAACGAAAATTCACTGCCCGCCCAGATGAGGGTGACTATAACCTTGACAGATAATTGTCTACGAGCAAACGTTTCAGAGACGTTACAAACCGTTTGGCCGCGTTCATAGTTCGCGACTCGGGAGATTAGGATAGTAGGCGACAGGATATTAGGATAGTAGTAGAGTAGGAGATTGCGCTGACAAGATTGGATACGTATCGATTGAAATCGCTGGAGAGTAGTAGATTGGGCGACTTCAAGCGAATAGATCAATACATATCTAATCTTGTCAGCGCACTATCCTACTCTACTAATCTCCTACTCTACTACTATCCTACTATCGTAATATCG